AGTCTTCTGACAGCTCTTGCCGTTGTTCTGCTGCTCCTTTCCGTCTTATTCTCACTCTTCGCCCAGCATGTGTGGCGACTGCTGCTTTGTCTTTGCGACTCTTACTACGTCTTACTGTACTTAATATTTACGACTTGTCCTGCAAGGTTTACAACTGTCGCCCATGTCGGCCATTCCTGCCACAGCTCTTTGCTCGTTTTATCTCGTTTTCGTCATCTGCAGCATAGTGACCAATGGCATTTTATGGCCAATGGAAGCAGAGGGAAAGCGGACCCAGAGTCTGGGTCAAAACTCGCGGTTTCGCGAGTGGGACACGTGGCTATGCAAGATGTTGCGACCATTTCCGCGCGGTGCGCTGGTACGACGTACTAGTAACATGGAGCTGCATGAGTTGCCGCTCACTAACTCTTGCGCGGCATATTGCAGACACGTCGAAGATTGATTGTAAGCTTTCCCAAAAATGAATGAAATTCTCGTCAGGCTGGACACGGCAGAGCTTACTAGGAGAATGGCCCATGCAAGCCTCAACCGATTCCAATCCGCTGCCTTGAAGCAGGCCAGAAACGTGGCCGTAGCCCGTTCTAGGATGGAGCCTCTCAAGACAGGCGACTCGAATTTTTGCAAAAGAGAGCCTGGCGAATCACACTTGCTTATGCACATTACAAAATTCAACTGAGAGTCTTTTCGCCACAAAGGACCAAGCGACTCCTTGCGCCTCGTGACTCCCCTCTTGTTCACCATGCTCCTGTCGACGGCCTACTGTACACGCCAAAATGCACTTACGGAGGTTGGCAAGCCTTCATCATGGCTCACTGCACTCAGAAGCAGAATGCAGCAAGGACTGCGATGAAGGCCAAGTTCTTCACGCTGGAGGACAGGGCCGCCGAAGATGACGGGCCTGCGGGGGCAATCGCCGTGGTCTTGCCAGTCACCTGGATCGTGCCCGCGTAGCCGGCATCCGCAGCGGCCTGGGTGATTGCGCTGTTGGTGTCCTCCAGTGAGACTGCATCGATGGCCACCCGAGTTTGGTCGGCGGCCTCAGCACTTGGCAAAGTCACCTTAAAGATGGCCAGGAGCGTCGCTTGAAGCTGCCTTGAACTAAGGCGTCGAGACTGGGTCGTGAACTCAAGCGTTACTTGAGAGGCATCCACGCCCATCACCTGCGCAAAGCCCGCAATCATGGCATTAGTCAAGGTGGCATTCTCCGTAATCGTTGCTGGGTCATCCACTGTGAGTGGGAGACTGACCTCCACGACCGTGGGAACGGCTGCTGCCGTTGAGGCCCCGGTGGTTGCGGCCCCGGTGGTCGTGGTGGTCGTGGTGGTCGTGGTGGTCGTGGTAGTGGTCGTCGTAGTGTTGGTCGTTGTAGTCGTTGTGGTGGTCGTTGTAGTCGTTGTGGTGCTGGTCGTTGTGGTCGTTGTCGTGGTGCAAGGC